AAGTGGTGCATTTCTACACCAGCGGTCCCGAATTAAGCTAGACACATGGCCCCATAGAATGAGAAATAATGGGGTGGGGATAAGAAAGAGAATAACTGGATGATGGGTCTGAATAAGATGCCTAGGCATGAGGATCACCGGTCCTAGACTCGGATACTCGAATTAAATTCGCATTGGCAGCCAGATTGCAGACTATCAGGCCGTGATTTTCATGTGTGGCAGGGGTCAACTGATAAGCGGGTTTGAGGGGGGCTAAATAAAAGTCAGAAGCCCTGCGAACGACATCTGAAACCGGTGGTGAGGATGGCTATGCATTATCAAATCCACTTGTAGTTACACGCGCTTAAGCGATATTGAAGGAAACGAGTGAATAGAATTGCGGAAATGGGTAAATGAGCCATATGAAATGGGGTTGAGAGAAATAGGTGCACCACTAGAAGATAGGACAAAGAATAGGGACGAATGATGCCACAATGATGGAACAGAAAATTGGTCAGGGGGATTGCCGCTTCTGGCGACTTTGATAAGCTGCAAATCTGTACTAACGATGTCGGCGAAACGTCTTGAAATGTATCAAATCAACGATCCTATACTAAAATCACCATGAATACTATTGCAGATGACGCAGGATTAGCTACGTTCCAAACGTCTCCCTGTCGCTCCGACCAAGTTGCGAGAGCAAAGTCCAACCAACAATATGCAGCAAAAGGAGACTGCGCGTAAACAAAACGCTACACCATCTGGGTCTTATATCTTGATTATTTCTGCCCACTTCAAGAATACGTAGTAATAGGATAGATGATTAGAATATTCTTCTGGAGAACAAAATTTGACAAACTACAAGCTACCAAAATTTATTGGTCTTTGCCAATAGCTTCGCTATTGCCTCATCTAGCATCTGCCGGACGTAGCTATGGCTGCTCAAGCCGAGAGTATTGAAGGTTTAGACAAAGCGGAAGACTGCTGCTCTGCCATCCAGTGAAAACGAGCTGAGCTTTTGCATGTCGTGCCATTTGGCAGGTCATCAGAGCTGGATATCATTTTTACAAAACGTTAACTATGCAAGGTCAAGAAGACATAACGTCTCTGCTTTACATGCTAACTATATACATTACATCGAAAAATAACTTAATAAAAGTAGATATGCAATGCTTTGTTTGTATATTTTCATGTCAAGCTTTGGTGTGAGGATTATCTTCTAGTTTTTCGGGCATAGAAGGAACTACTTAGTTGATATCATGGCCAAAATTTTCTTCGTATCTATAATTTAGCCAAAGAGTAGGCCTGAAGACTGGATCAACCCTCTTAGTCGATCAGATCCACAAGCACGATAAGTTAGCCGATTGGGTAGTAAATCTTCATAATTCCCTAGATATTGTCTAGCTGAAGAAAAGTAATGTAAGCCAGAATTTGGGCAAAAGATCTAGTACTTATCATGAAGCTTCACCGAAATGGTCATTAGTCCAAAGGTAAAAGTAACCATGCTCCGAAGTTGAATCTCACGCGAATCAAGAGTATTTATTTGGCTGGGGCAATACAAGCCATTTGAAGAAAAATATATGCTCTTGTTCAAGAAGTAGTAGTTTAATAAAGCAAGAATAATGTCCACACATATAGATATGTATCTAAAAACAACTTGACCAATAAGGAGCAGAGACATTAGAGGCTCAACTTCTTTACATAAATAGGATCAACAAGATCCCCTTCATCCAGACGGCCAAAGAATGTATGCAGAGAAATAGACAAACTGGCACGAGTACTTACACCGGAAGTAACTTCCCGAGCACATCCTGTGACCATCCCAACAGACACTCCCATGAAAGAAGTCTGCCTGCTGAGTTCTCAGTGAGTGAGTTGCTCAGAGTGAGCGGGCGGAACCGTTTGGGCTCCTTTAATTTCTTGAACAGCCTCCGATGTACTGGCTGCAGGTTATTTTTGTTGTCAGCATTCAAGAGACTGTCTGAAGTGGGGAGAGGAGGAAGCTCAGAGAAAAAGCGCTTCTGGAAGGAATTGCTCGGGAAAGAAAGGTAGGAATGCTCTGGACGACCCTGAAGAAAAGTAGGGGTTAAAACCGAGGGAGGTAAGGATGAAGTTGAAAGAGTGTATAAAAGCTAATATGTGAGGAAGTTATGAAATCATATGAACAGTGTTATATGTAACTACATGAACACTCAGTGTAGAATTAATATGTAAAAATGGTTACTATGACTCCTCCAGATTCCTCATTTCGCGTATGTACATTTTATGAAAGGCATAATAGATTGGTCGGAGAATATGTTGGAAGGAATTCCATGGTCTGAGTTAAAAATCGTGGAAGGTGTTGTCAAGACCAGTAACGCTCTTGTAGATAAAGAAAATTCCACTTTCCATTCAGACTAATGGTGAATTTCTGTTATAGCCAGACGAGTAAAATAATACACTCATCGAAACTGAGAAAGATGAGTCGTAAAGCACAGGAAACGAGAAGCCGAGAGGAAGAGGGATAGGCACTCCGATCCGGATTTGTACTAATCCAGAGTAAGTTTAATCGTAAATTTTGCAATAAAATTTTT